TCTAGCCTGCCGCAGATGAAAGAAGGTGGTTCTACTAATGGCGGAGACCTGGGCCTCCATCGTCAGCAGAGAGCCCAAAAGGACTCCCAGACTCTTTACCAATGATGACAGGCGTAGCACCTCGCCATCCAGGGTAGGCAGCTGGATGTCCCCACTGCCCGGTCGACCCAGCCATAGGATCTCCGTCTTTGCTGGATTCACCCTCAACCTGCTGGCACGCAGCCATCCAGTAACGGCTTCGAGGCACTGATGGAAACAATTGGGTACAGAGTCCGGTCAGCCTTCCATCTTCAGCACCAGCTGAGTGTCATCGGCGTACTGGTAACACTCAAGCCCAAAACCTCGAACCAGCTGAGCAAGTGGTCGCATATAGATGTTAAACAACAGAGGGGAGAGAATGGCCCCCTGAGGAACCCCACAAGATAGAGGGGGCCTCTCAGAGACCAGGCCTCCCCTCTCCACTCGCTGTCCACAGTTGTGAAGAAAGGAGGACAGCCAGTTTAAAGCTGTCCCCCTGACTCCAGCAACAGCAAGGCGGTGGGTCAAAAGATTGTGGTCGACTGTGTCAAATGCTGCTGTGAGATCCATTGTATAATAGAGCCTGTATTGCTTTTAATTGTATTCTGCCTTGGGCTTGGGCCCCATGTAAGCCGCCCCAAGTCCCTTCGGGGAGATGGAGGCAGGGTAGAAAAATAAAGTTCTTCTTCTTCTTCTTTTTCTTTTCTTCCCTCCCCTCTTGGAGCCTCAGAAACACCTCTCTCCTTGGCTGAGAGGCCAACTGAGAGGTTTGCCAATCACAGCAGAGGAGGGCTTTTGGTGGGAGAATTTGCTGTCTCTTTCCAAAAAGGCGGAGAGATCTTCAGCCTTCTCTGCCAAAGGGGTTCCTAAGACCATCTGATATATATGTTTTCTGATGGTCTTTGGTGACCCCTTTGAAGCCCCTTCATGCCCCCCCTCCAGGTGTCCTGACCCTCAGGTTGAGAAACACTGATTTAAAGCATTTCTAAAGCTTTGCAATTGGTTTAGCTTAGCTGGTCTCCTCCTCCCATTTTGGCCAAAAAGCATGACTATGTTTTTTTGGAAGGTTTTGGTTGTTTTATTGAGATACAATATGGCTTGTTGTTATGTGCCTTCAAGTTGTTTTTGACTTAATGGCTACCCTATTATTGGGTTTTCTTGGCAAGTTTTGTTCAGAGAGGATTTACCTTGGCCTTCCTCTGGGGATGAAAAAGGCTTATTTGTCCAAGGATTAATCCATTACTCCTGGAACGATTCCATCAGCGCTGCCTCCGGAAAATCCTGCAAATCTCTTGGGAAGACAAGCAGACAAATGTCAGCGTGCTGGAAGAAGCAAAGACCATCAGCATTGAAACAATGGTCCTCTGCCACCAACTCCGCTGGACCAGCCACGTTGTCCAGATGCCCAACCATCTCCCGAAGCAGTTGCTCTACTCCGAACTGAAGAACGGAAAATGGAATGTTGGTTGACAGGAAAAGAGATTTAAAGATGGGCTCAAAGCCAACCTTAAAAACTCTGGCATAGACACTGAGAACTGGGAAGCCCTGGCCCTTGAGCACTCCAGCTGGAGGTCAGCTGTGACCAGCAGTGCTGCAGAATTTGAAGAGGCACGAATGGAGGGTGAAAGGGAGAAGCGTGCCAAGAGGAAGGCACGTCAAGCCAACCCCGACTGAGACTGCCTTCCACCTGGAAACCAATGCCCTCACTGCGGAAGAAGATGCATAGGAAGAATAGGGCTCCACAGCCACATACGGACCCACAAGAATATTGGAAGACAATCATCCTTGGAAAGCGAAGGATTGCCTAAGAGAATCCATTATTCTTAAATATTTGATCTTTAGTCATTTCATATTCAGTCCTTCTAGGAAATTGCTTTCAACTGTTTTTGTCCTAGTTTGATATTGTCTTGTAGAACTAGTTTCATCTTCATAATGTAGAAAGTTGTTATGATGGAATAAAAATACCTTATTATTTTTATTTTAAAAATAAAGTAAATTTTCTGTCAATATTATATGGTACTTTCTCCTAAATCTAAATTTCTGCAGTCTTAGGCTTCAAATAATATATTTACCTTGTGATTTCCTTCTGGGTATAGAGACTTGTGATTTCACGATAACATCAAGTGAATGGATGAGGAGAAGCACTAAATATATTTTTTGCCGTAATTGTCAAAGCCCAATGCCCTCTGCTATATTTAATGAAAAATATGTGAATTTTAGAAATACTATTAAGTCAATGTGATAAATGAAAAGCAAAGTAGACTTCGCAATTCATGAATAGATCAGTCAAGTCATGGAGTCATACAATTAATTCAGCTGCTATCAATATGATAACATGCAAATAAAAAAGAACAGATAATTGCACTATGGATGAATGATGAACATACTCTAAATTTATTTTTTTCTCACATAAATTCTGGCATATTTTCTATGCATCCTGTCAAGCTTTCTAGACACAGAGAACAAGATAAATTGAAGCCACATGGCAAGTTCATTGATTTTTTACACCACCTTAGTTTATGCGTACTTTTACAATATTTTCAAGAATATTTTTCACTGTTTTCATTTCAGTTATGATGTATGCACATGGTGTTCTTACCATACATCAAGAGAACCACTGACCATATAGAGAAGCTGATGAAGAAACACAACCTATAACTATCTACAGACCCACAAAGAAAACCCAATATTTATTATCTTTCACATATCTTGCTTACTGTAAATGAACTGTAGTAGGGCATTGCTTGGATGTGATCCTAACTTCTATCTACACACCAGCTTTCACATTTTGTTGTTCCATCTCTATTACCAATATAGCCAAACCAGAATTGCTGGACTGCTAATTAACAACAGTAAAATGATGTTATAAATGAAGTAGACTACAGATTTACTTTGTAAACTGAGAAAATAAGTATCTTTTTTCTTTTTCCTTTTTCTTTTTCAGTGCTTTGTGATGGGGATGAAAGCTTTGTATGCAGAAGTGGAATTTGTATCCCGGGGATACTGCAGTGTAATGGCTACAATGACTGTGATGACTGGAGTGATGAAGCATCTTGCAGTACGTCATTTAAATGCATAATATAGTGTATGTTTGGAAACACCAATAACATGGTAACTGGGTTGTTGTAGGTTTTTCGGGCTATATGGCCATATTCTAAAAGCATTCTCTCCTGACGTTTCCTCTGCATCTATGGCAAGCATCCTCAGAGGTTGTGAAGTCTGAGGATGCTTGCCATAGATACAGGCAAAACTTCAGGAGAGAATGCTTCTAGAGCATGGCCATATAGCCTGAAAAACCTACAGCAACCCAGTGATTCCAGCCATGAAATCCTTTGCCAATACATTGAACATAGTAACTGTTAAAATTACTTCAGAAACAAGATACCTCTTATGAAATGACCCCTTTAATAATAATAATAATAATCTTTATTTATACCCCGCCACCATCTCCCCAATGGGGACTCGGAGCGGCTTACATGGGGCCAAGCCCAAACAATACATTACATCAAAATAAAACCAAAACATGAACAAGAAGCAACATCATCAAAGGGAGAAAAAACACATGAAACCATAACAAAATAACATTACAATAAACAAAAAACACAGTTTCTGTGCTGGCATGGCAGTGCCAGGAGATTTAAATTCCTTTTTCTTGCTTTGCTAGTTTGTATGAATTTACTTAAGACATACATTTTGCAATCAGATAGCTTCCCCAGGTTGCAGCCATAGGGCCGGCAACCTGGCAATCAGAGTTGGAGTCCTTAGACCCGCCCTTTTCCTCAGGGTTTCGGAGTTAAGGGCCTTTGGTTAGTCCCTTTTTTTTGGAGCCTAACAGCAGGGCATGTGGGTTTCTCTATCCCACCTGCAAAAAGGCATCACTACTCACAGCTCCACTGGCTGAGTAAAGGGATAGTTCCATGGCCTTTGCCGAGACAACAGGACAGTTTCTATGGTCTTCGTGGAGCAAATCTAAAGGACACCTTGCAGCTTGGCAGATTTACAGAAACCTTGTCTGGTAAGGGACCACTCGGGTCATCCATAAAGTAGCTTGGAGCCGGGAGTAGAGGCTTCACGCTAGCAAGGTAAAGAAAGTTTGCCCAAGGAGGGGTCAGGAGATTTCCCTAAGGAAGAAAGGAACCGTTTACTATCAGTTGCCTGCCCCTTGTTGGCAGATTGAAAAGGCTATTGGTTTTTCAAGGTTATAAGGCATTTAATTCATTTGTTTGAAGACTGAAAACCCTAATAAAGAACTTTGTTGAACTCATTTTGAGCCTTATTAAAACTTTGTGTTGGGAAACCTGAGGGACCCTTCAGCTGAGGCACCCCGGCGTCCCACTGGGCATCCAGAAGACGCGTCCTGTATACAGACATCATTACAGGCTCAGCAAGCGACAGCACAGTTGCAGTAACAATGGGCAGGCCACATGTACAGGATTTGCGTAGGATTTGCGTATTCCGACTTCTGAGTCTTTCTTAGGAATCAATATAACCTGTTTTCCTTTGCCCAACCTGACCACAGAACATGCTTGTAGACCTTTAAAATGTTGTGTTTTAAAAAGCATGAGTTCAATAGTAATTTAACAGCTAAATTTTCTGCAGACACACAGTTGTTCTTAGACAGTTGTTTTTAAATGTCTGAGTCATCATCCCACAAAGGCTGTCTTTGTCGAAAGATAACCTTTTGAACAAGCACTGGCTTTATACCTTTTGGTAATTTTGTTGGCAGCATGTTACAGTACATGAAAAACAACCTGCTTACAAAATGATTTTTGATATAACCCCGAAGGTGGTTGCAAAAAAAATATTTGGTTATAAAAGAACTGCTGTTGAAAAGAACATGTGGTTTTTCCACTATTTGATATTTGCAAGAATGAGAAAGAGCTGGAGGCTGGATCACACTGCTCACATTTAACAAGTGAGCACATCTAAGCAGATGTTTCTCAGATCTGGCTATGTGAAATCGTGAAGGAGAAAGCAATCAGTCCCTTGCCTAGCAGGAAAGAGTCCCTGAAACATTCCCTACCCTTCTTTTTCCTCACACGTCTGATGGGAAAGAGTCAACACTTCCTCATTTTCAGTATATGAAGCTCTCTACTTTGTTGCTGATTGTGGTCTGAAAAATACTGATGAAACCATAGGGACCCAGCGTGAGCTTGGACCACAGGCAAAGCAGTGGTAGAGAATTCATATTGGATATATTTTTCAGCCCACACCAGGATGTGAACATCTCAGAAAAGAATTGGAATGTGAAAGCAAAAATAAATTGTTTTAGACTGACAGATATATAATGTAGCCAGTGTAATAAAGTTCTGTGATTTAAAACATGAAAGAAAACATGCAACAGCATTCTGCAAAGAACTTCCCCATTTTGCAGATAAGATCGCTCTGATTTGCTCTGATTTAGATGCCATATTTGATACAGTTCTGATGGATGTAACCTTGGCTCCTGCTCACCTGAAGATGCGGACAGGATCCTTGGAAAGATGAGAGCCACCATGTGTGTTCTAGACCCTTGTTCTCCTGGCTTATTAAACTGGCCAGAGACGGACTGGTGGTGTGGGTAAGGGAAATGATTAATCCCTCGTTGCTTCAAAGCAGGCTCCCAGCGTGCCTTGAAAAGGTTGTGGTAAGACCTCTTCTGCAAGAAGTTTCCCTGGACCCTACTGTACTTTACAACTATAGACAAGTTTTCCATTTCTGAGCAAGATATTGCTGTGTGTGATGGCTTCTCAACTCCAAGGCTTCCTGGATGAGGCTGATTATCCAGACCAATTTCAATCTGCTTTCAGGCCTGGTTATGGGACAGAGACAGCTTTGGTTGGCTTGGTGGATGACCTAAGCAGAGAAGTGGACAGGGGGAGGGTGTCCTCACTGGCTCTTTCAGTTGGTTTTGATATCATCAACCATGGTGTCCTTCTGAATCACCTTTCTTGCATGGGGGTTGGTCCTGTTCTTCAGTGGCTCTACTCCTTCCTGGAGGAATGGTCTCATAAGGTCATGCTGGGGCATTCCTGTTCGACTTTTTGGCCATTGGCCACTGGAACCCCTTAGGGTTCAGTCCTGTCCCCCAAACTATTTAATATATAAATGAAACCATTGGGAGAGGTCATCCAGAGTTTTAGGGTTAGGTATCACCAGTTTTCTGATGACACTCAGCTCACCTACTCCTTTCCACCTAATTCTATACTAAATGGGTGCCTGGCAGCTGTAATGGATTGAATTAGGACAAACAAATTGAAGTTTGATGAAGACAAGTTGTTGTTGTTTATTTGTTCAGTCGTTTCCAACTCTTCATGACCTCATGGATGAAGACAAGACAGACATGCTTCTGGTCAGCTGAAAGACAAATCTGGGAACAGAGTTTCAGCCTGTGTTACATGGGTCACACTCCCCCAAAAATACAGGTGCACAGTTTGAGGGTTTCTCCTGGATTGTCTCTGAAACCAGAGGCCCCTGTATCAGCAGTGACCAAACATGTTTTTGTGCAATCCATCCCATGTGAACCTAAATTAAGCACACAATCCTCTACTCTCGTTGTCCCTTCTGGGTTTTTTAAAATACCTGTGTGGGGAAGTGACAGTGGTGGCCAGGGGTGGTGGCATTCCTGAGGTGGCATGGATACTTTCCTCTCTGTGGAATAGCTCTTGACTTGTCATCAAAGGCTTTCACGGCCAGAATCATTGGAGTGGTTTCCGTGCTGGATGGCCGATTTCTAGCAGCAAACTAGAGCACAGCCATACAACCTGGAAACCACACAACTCCTCTTGACTTATCCATGGGTCATATCAAAATTCCTGATTTTGGCCTCAAAGTCTGCCCTTGAACTACACATGATGTGAACTTATACATTTTTATATGTGGTTGCTTGTAGCCTGGCACAGGGCAGATACAGGCAAGATCTCAAACTGAAGGAAAAAAAATAAGTTTACTGCATTGCATTACTTTTGTATCCCAAATGCCCAATGGTAAAGTGCCACTTTATAACTTTCAATCCTCATATTTCCTCCCCTAATTTTTTTTAACATCCATGCCTGATGAAGCAGCATGGGAGTTCCAAACACTTGTGTAATGTATTTTGTGCATTTTGGTGACCTAATAAAGGTATCACAGCAGTGCGTTTTTGTAGAGTTTTTTATATTCTGCTGCATAGATAACACAAGCACAATGGGATACAGCTTCCGCAAATATTTGGTCAACTTTCTGCTTTTGATTTCCAATTGCCTATGATAAGTAACATGCCCACTTTTGATGTGTGATCAATTTCCTCTTGAAGACTAGTGTAGAGAACTGTCAGAATATTTCATGGTACAGATTCCAGATAAACAATGATCTGAATTTCCAACTCAGCTGGGTACTGCATTCCTCAATATGAAACCATCTGCAGAACACACATATTTTAACTTAGCTTATATCATTTAGGATGTTATGTGTTTGGTATTTACTATCCTTTCATTCTTGGTATTCTTTCAGAGCTAAACAGAAATCATACTGGAAACTTCTGGACAGTTCGAACTGTTACATTCCTCCCCCTTCAGCAGTGAAAGCTAGTTTTAATGGTGTATTGTATAATATGCTGCACTTGGCCCGGAGAGACATGGTTTTAAGTCTATCTTAAATCTCCATGTGAGCATTTGTTGATTTCTGCCCATTATGCAGCTGCCAATGATACATAGCCCACATATAATGAAAAAGTTATTGTATATACCCATTGACTGTTGGTAGTTTGGGGGCCAAAATTATGCACCTGTGTATATATCCCACCCAGGCATTCAAAAAGGTTAGCACTATGGTGGAGCGAGTAAAGGGAGCAATCCTTTTAGGTTCTTCCAGGATGGACTAAGCACTCACCGTTTGTCACTCCTCAGAGAAAGGGATGTTTTCTTTTTGGTGAGAATTAAGGAACAGTACTTTGACCCATTGATAAGTTGACATAGTTTTTTGGGTGATTTTTTAAAATAAAATTTTAAAACTTATACATGAGTATATAGAATTAGTGGATTTTAGGGTGCAGTATTCCATAAAAAATAAAAGTATTGTATCACACACAGTTCTTTCACAAATCATTACTAATTTCAACAATAATATCTATATATATAAATTTGTTAGGGGCATCCAACGAGAAACAAAACTCAAAAACCCCCCAACGAAACTTAACCAAAATTCCCATGCCCATAACACAACCCACAAGGTACAAACATATCTACTCAAAATGAAAAACAACACAACAACACACTCACAAAACGGCAAAACAACAAAACTCAAAAAACCCCAACGAAACTTAACCAAAATTCCCATGCTCATAACACAACCCACAAGGTACAAACATATCTACTCAAAATGAAAAACAACACAACAACACACTCACAAAACGGCAAAACAACTGAGCATGCGCATTGGCACCCAGCCGCAAGTTCCCTGGCGCGCGCACATGCCCTTCCGGCCAACGTTCCCTCTGCGGAAACCATGCCCACTCCAAGCCCCGCCGCGCCGCTTCCCGCACACACACACACCCCTGCCGCACATACACACACAACCCCACACTCCATCACTCCCCCCACCGCCGCACACACACACGCAACCCCACACTCCATCACTTCCCCGCCGCCGCACGCACACACGCAACCCCACTCCCCCCGCCGCCGCACACACACACGCAACCCCACGCTCCATCCCTCCCCCCGCCGCTGCACACACACACACAACCCCACGCTCCATCACTCCCCCACCCCAATCTTACCTCCTTTTACTTCACGCCACCTCCAAACCCCACCCTGCCCCTTCCCGCCCTGTCAAAATCTAGGAAAGACAGGAAGGAAGGAAAGAAGGAAGAAAGAGAAAGGGAGGTAAAGAAAAAGGGGGAAGGAAGGAAAGTTAGAGAAAGAAGGAAGAAGAAAAGGAAAGAAAAGGAAGGATGGAAGGAAAGAAAAGAGAGACAGCAGAAGAGAAAGAAAAAGGGGGAAGGAAGGAAAGAGATAGAGAAAGAAGAGGAGAAGGAAAGATGGGAGGGAAGGAAGGAGGGAAAGAAGGAGAGAAAGAGGGAAGATTGGCCACAGCAACACGTGGCGGGTAAAGGTTGTTATTTCTATTATTATTATTATTATTATTATTATTATTATTATTATTATTATTATTATGCTATTGTTCCTATGAGACCCTGGAGGAATGGGAGAGGTGTCAGGTCCCAGAGGCAATGCATTGCATTATTGTTATTGTTATGATGGTGGTAAAATAAAAGGAAATAAAAAGTGAAAGAAGGAAGCAAACAGGGAGGGAAAAAGGCAAAGGAAGAAAGGGGGAGGGAATGAAGGAAAGAGAGAAGGATGAAACCAAGTAGTGAAAGAAAGAAAGAGGTAGAGAAGGAAGAAAGGAGAGAAAGGGGGAGGAAAAGGGGGAAGGAATAGGTAGAGACCTCTCTTTCATAATAGTCCAGATATCTACCTCAACTTTGATAAGTTTTACTATAGGCCACAGCAACGCGTGGCAGGGCACAGCTAGTTACAATATAAAAACAGAAAAGCATGATTGCTTTTCAGTACTTGTTCTTTTTGGGGAGTTCATACCCGGATTAAATGTTAATGCATGAGTAAGGTAAAATAATGTTTTTTCAATATTTTGTTTTTTGCAGATTGCAGTGAAGGAGTTTTCCGATGCAACACAGGAAAATGCCTCAATTACACTTTTGTTTGTGATGGATATGATGACTGTGGAGACCTAAGTGATGAGCAGAATTGTGGTAAATAAAGTGTAATTGTATATAGATAGATCTAGATAGAAATATTTTAAACACTGTAATGGAGAACATTGATCGCATTCTCTTGACACAGGACCAGAATATTTCCATGTCTGTCTTACACTGTGTATACAGAACAGTCTGGAGAATACAAAAGCTAAAATCCAACATAGTTTAAATACACTATAAACCAGCAGATTTAATTTTGTTTCATAGTGTTGAATTGCAGTTTGGCTGTTTTACACATGGGAAAGTCCTTTGAAATCTTAAGGACTTCACACACAGTTTCCCCTGAAATGTTGATTCCAAGGAACGTTAATATTTCAGATAAAATTAAGAATTAATTCTTTATTAAAATAATTATTGATGTTTATTCATTTTTGGAAACATCACTGCACATTCTATATATCTTATATTAAGTTTCAGAGAAAAGTTTTTCTATTTAATATCTCGTGTTTCCATATTTTAATATATTTTAATATACCATATTTTAATATAGAACTGTCCACTTACATAACATGGGTTACATTTGAGCTTTGAGGTAGAAGAGGGCTATGAAATAAGCTGTATGATAAAGCTTTGAAACAAAGGAAAATTCAACACATTGCAAACATTGGTTTCAAAGTACCATATGGGTTGAAAAATAGGCTTATTATTACAAAAATGTCTTTGCTGTACTGTGTAATCTGGTAGAGGCAGTCCCCAAGTTATAAACAAGATAAGTTCTGTAGTAAATTTGTATGTAAGTTGGAACAGCCACATACTATATATATATATATATATATATAGAGAGAGAGAGAGAGAGAGAGAGAGGCTGTTCCAACTTACATAAAAATTTACTACAGAACCTATCTTGTATGCTATGGATAGCATATAGGAGGGTTAACATCCCTGTGGTGTTTGTTTGCTTGTCCGTGCAGCTGTTTAGAAGATTTCACCTCACTTTTGTCCCTGCTATAATTGCATTTTGAAAAATTTGGCTTTTTGTGGAAACTCATTTCCCTCAATTCTTTCAGGAGATAATTTTCCTTCTGAAGGGTAGATTTCTCTCACTTTCTGTTGTCTTATCTCTGTTCTATGAGTTGTTCATAAGTTAGATATTTGTAACTCAGGGACTGCTTTTATTCAAAATACAATATACACTTCAAAATGCCTCCCATGCTCAGCTAAAGTCATTCTTTGAATTGCGCTCAATGTTGTCTGACTCCTCTTAGCTTTGACAAGAAAACACTGGGAATTGCTGTGGTAGCTGTACACAGTCAGTTGGTCTAAAGGGCTGTCCTTGGAGAATGGAGCGAGCTTGCTATTTAAGAGATAGAACCCAAAGCAATAGATTGAAATTATGTACAGGAAAGGTGTGTGTGTGTGTGTGTGTGTGTGGGGGGGGGTGTCTCACTAAATATTGAGAAGAACTGTCTGGTGGTAAGGTCATTGCTTTATTGTGCTCCCACTTTGATTTAATGATATGTGACCCAGTTGTGTTAGAAATAGTGGAAGGACTTGTGTTGATTCTTTTTCAGTTTTTGTCTTTCTTTCCTAAAAAAAAAAAGATTGTAATCCACTAACTCACTACCAATGTGGAGATGGGAGATGCATAAGAATGGACTGGGTATGTGATGGTGACCACGACTGCACAGACAAATCAGATGAAGTCAACTGCTGTAAGTTATCTGATTTTACACATTTTGATATCAGTTCTTATCATTGTTGTTATTTGCTGTCAAGTCAACTTCAATATATGACAATTTTTGAATGATTGTATTTTTCAGATACTTTTATTATTGTTCCAGCATTGCATCGTCTTCTTTACACTTAATTTCCATTGGTACATATACGTATAAGCATCTCATTTTTGTGTAACTATTCTTTTTTTTCTGCACCTTCTCCTTTTGTACATTCTTCTGTTTAATGACATTTTATTAATTTTATTAACAACCTTCATTTCCACTGCTTCACCCTTCCCCCAGATCACATAATCTCCCTATATTTATTTTACTTATTTACTGTATTTATAACTCACCCTTCTCATCCCAAATATTTACCCTTAGACATGCACACAATTTTCTTAGTTTCTGTACAATATTTACATTGGCTTCACTGCTTTCTATCCATTCCACATAGGTCTTCCATTTATTTTTTAATTTCTTCTGTTTTATATTCCTGTATATCTTGCTAGATTACATATGGCATAATTTCAGATTGGACCTTATGATAAATATAGTTGTTCCAATTTTCCATAGTCCATTTTTTTTTCATTTTTCCATTCTCATACCATTCTCAGACTTGTCCTGCTAGAATCATACTTTTAAACAGTGTCTTGTTCTTTTGTATTAATCTTATTATTCCCTAATACTCCCATTAGCATCAGAATTTTTTTGAATGAGAAATATCTGAGAGTTCCCATGATTGACAGCCTTGTGCACATCTCCAAATTGAAAGCTATAGCTTTCCTTGATTGAATCAGTCTACCCATAACTGAGGCTGTACCTACACTGGTAAATAATGCAGTTGGAACCACATTATATGGTCATTTTGTCTTATAATACACTATGTCCAAAGTATGACAGCCTCAATTTAATCTTTCCAGTGAGAGTGCAGGTCTGAATTGCTGCAAAATCTATTCTTTTATCTTTTTAAACAGCTCTCCATAATCATAATTAGAGCAGAGTTCTTATAACAAATCTCATTGAGTCAATGGATTTATCCAGTTAAACTAATAATTGGATTTTGTCAAGTGTTCGTTGCTATGTTTAAACAGCAAGGATGTAGTGTATTGCTTTGTTCATGTATATTATAATTTTAACTAATATGCTTAACTCTCAAACCTATATTTATTGTATTTTTATCAAATAATTTCTGTGATCATTTTTAAGTCCTGCTGATATGTTAAGTATGCTTTAAACCAGTGGTTCTCAACCTTCCTAATGCCGTGACCCCATAATACAGTTCCTCATGTTGTGGTGACCCCCAACTGTAACATTATTTTTGTTGCTATGTCATAACTGTAATTTTGCTACTGTTATGAATCGTAATGTTAGTATCCGATATGCAGAATGTATTTTCATTCCCAGGACCAAATTTGACACAAATACCCGATCGCCCAAATTTGAATATTGGGGGCGGGTGGGTTATTTTGCCATTTGGGAGTTGTAGTTGCTGGGATTTATAGTTCACCTAAAATCAAAGAGCATTCTGAACTCTGAGTTGAACCAAATTTGGCACACAGAGCTCCCATGATCAAGAGAAAATACTGGAAGGGTTTGGTGGGCATTAACCTTGAGTTTTGGAGTTGCAGTACACCTACATCCAAAGAACACTGTCGACTCAAAACAATGATGGATCTGGATCAAAATTGGCATGAATGGTCAATAATGTGAACACTAGTGGAGTTTGGGGAAAAGACACTTGACATTTGGGAGTTGTAATTCCTGGGATTTATAGTTCACCTCCAATAAAAGTGCATTCTGAACCCCACCAATGATAAAATTGGGCCAAATTTTGCACACAGAACCCCCATGACCAACAAAAAATACTGTGTTTTCTGATGGTCTTTGGCGACCCCTCTGACACCCCCTCACGACCCCCCCAGGGGTCCCGACCCCCAGGTTGAGAAACACTGCTTTAAATGGTTACATATTTAATTTGTAGGAAATGGAGAGCATTTAAGAATTAACAGTTCTTTCTTATTTTCCACAGCATGTCACAGCCAAGGACTAGCAGAATGCAAAAATGGTCAGTGTATTCCCACTGCTTTCCAGTGCGATGGAGACAAGGACTGTAAGGATGGAAGTGATGAAGAAAATTGTAGTAAAAGTAAGGGGACTCTACATGTCACTTGCATGGCGCAGCATAGGAACTGCAACTGAAAGCTTTTCAGAAATATTGGTAGATCACAATTTTTGTATATTCTAGGGGAAAAAGAATTTCTTTTGAAGATGATAATTCAGATAGCATCTTCCAAATTCACCTCACTTTCTGTCTTTGTGATAATTGGATTTTGAAAAAAAAAGGCTTGTTGTGGAAACAAGGGTTGGCAAGAAAGCTTCAGTGGAGACACTCTTCCAGGAGTGAATTTCCTTTCCAAGGTGTATTTATCTCATTTCCTGTTGTCTCATCCCTATACTTAACTATGAGTAATTTATAAGTTGGATGATTGTAACTCGGGGACTGCTTGTATAATCATTTTCATGTGATGTTTATTTATTTATTTACTATATTTGTATAACGCTCTTCTCAGCTTGCAGGCGACTCAAGGCGGTTTACAGACAGCAACAATTCAATGCCCACAATACCATAAAATACAATTAAAAACATTAACATCTATATATATAAAAATGCTCTGTGCATAATGAGTACCTTAAAAACAAAAGAACCAATGAATGAAATCACACCAAATTTGGCAACAAAACGTCTTACAACACAAGGAGTGACCATCACTCAAAAAATTATGATTTTGTCATTTGGGAGTTGTAGTTGCTGGGATTTATAGTTCACCTAAAATCAAAGAGCATTCTGAACTCCGCCAATGATGGAATTGAACCAAATGTAGCATACAGGACTCCCATGACCAACAGAAAACACAAGAAGGGTTTGGTGGGCATTGACCTTGAGTTTGGGAGTTGTAGTTCACCTACATCCAGAGAGCACTGTGGACTCAAACAATAATGGATCTGGACCAAACTTGGAATGAATACTCAATATGCCCAAATATGAACACAGATGGAGTTTGGGGGAAATAGACCTTGATATTTGGGAGTTGTAGTCACTGGGATTTATAGTTCACCTACAATCAAAGAGCATTCTGAACCCCACAAACGACAGAATTGGGGCAAAGTTCCCACATAGAACTCTCATGACCAACAGACAATACTTAAGGACACCCAGTCCAACTCCCTTCACCAGCTCAAGAAAACATAATCAAAGCCCTCCCAACAAAGAGACATCCAGCCATAGATATAGATAGATATATATGATTCTCACACACACACACACACACACAGATATAGTATCATAGATTTTAAAGGGACCCCTAAAGAAGGACCATTATTTTTTGCATATTCCAGAGTAGGCAAACCAGACTATCTCCACATCAACACTGACAAAGAAACAATACTGTTTACCCACACGCATAAAGAAATTACATTTATTAGAAACCCACATTTTCACATTACTTTATTTTCCAGATCACCAGACTGGGCCACAGCAACGCGTGGCAGGGGACGGCTAGTATAATATAAAACCATAGCAAGATCAGTAAAAACATATATCATTAGCACCCTCTTCATTAGGGTTGTGCCACTTTTAGAAGTTTTGAGGAAGCTGTTCCAGCCTTTAGGATATCCCGTGATCCACAGTTTGAATGAAAATGCCCTCTTATCCTAATGGCATGTACTGGTTCATTTGAATTTTTTCACTATTTTTGGAGATGCAGTTGCTTGCAGAAGTGGAGCAACATGCTTTTGACTAGTTGAGTGATCCCCGAGGCAGTCCATCTATGCTTTAAATACTGCCTGGGGGCACACTATATATCTTCTTAGTTTTTCTCAATTTCTTCATATTTTGGGGCATGTGAATATGCTTTCTCTCCAGATATTTGTATACGTCATAGTTTGAAACAAATTAATCTTTGAACCTACCTACTGCAAAAATTCAATCTGGCATAAGGACTTCTTGCCTGCTGCACGGCTAATTGTAAATTTAGTTCCATATCTGTTTCTAAGTGCTATGTCCAAAAGAGAAACACAAACTAATCACCATTCATTATTTATCATGTTGTTTTCTTCAGCTTTGAGAAACAACAGTGAGCAATAAAATGAGTTGCTGTGACCCAGGAGTACTGGGTCTAGAGATGAAGGTCCATAGCCTGTTTTAGCTATGCATTTCCCCCAGATGCTTATTTTAATTGTATATGCAAAAATGCTGCACAAAAAAAGGAACAAACACCTTTAGAAGAGCATATAGCAGGGAGCTTTGTGCTGCATTTCTAAACTTGTATATGATCAAGGATCCCTCTTGTCCTTTACTAAATGTAGCATTTTTGGATTTTCTTAGTGGGTCTGTAAATAGTTTGTATGTTGTGTTTTTTCATCAGCTTCCCTATGTGGTCAGTGGTTCTCTTGATGTATGGTAATAACACTTTTCCTCTGGGTGGATCTTTGTCTTTACTCTTGTGGCTTGTACAAACTATCTACAAACCTACTAAGAAAATCCAACAAATGCTACATTCAGCAAAGGATAAGGGATCCTCTCAGCTCTGCAGGAGTCTACTGTATACCATGCAGCTGTGGACAAGTCTATATAGGTACCACCAAATGCAGCATTGCCCAAACATGAATCAAGGAACATGAAAGGCACTGCAGAGTGACTCAACTGGAGTTATAGCAGAGTACCTAGTGAACCAACCTAGACACAGCATATTATTTGAGAACACAGAAATGCTGGACCACTCTAACAACCACCGTATCAGACTACACAGAGAAGCCATTAAAATCCACAAGCATGTGGACAATTTCAACAGAAAGGAAGAAATCATGAAGATGAACAAAATCTGGCTACTCGTATTAAACAACTCTGAAATCAGGACATTAAATAAAGAACAACACTCAGAAAACAGGGAATTCCAGACAGGAAATAATCAGGGCCAGCTAACATCTCCCAACATAGGATTCCTCCAGGCAAGAAGCAGCCAGGCTTTGAAGCTACAAGTCTAATCAATGCTGATAAAGGTGGCCAATTGCAACATACACACTTGCCTCCAACAGACAAGAGTTCTTTCTCCTACCCTGGACATTATTCCATAGATATATAAACACCACTTGCCTAGTTTCCAACAGACATCATAACCTCTGGAGATGCCTGCCATAGATGTGGGTGAAACATCAGGAAAGAATCCTTCTGGAACATGGCCATACAGCCTGGAAAACTCACAGCAACCCATGGGAGCAATATTTTGTGGGAAAACATGGGACTACAAAACCTTCTCTGTAGTAGTTCCCTATTTCTGGAAGGCTCTCTCTTTGGCAGCCTAATTTGTGCTTTATTCAACAGTTGTTAAACTACAACATTTTGTTAAAGTCTTTTAGGCCTAATTTGTTTAGAATCATTGAATCATCCAGTTGGAAGGTCCATCCAGTCCAATCCCCTGCTGAGCAGAAAAATACAAGCAAAACACATTAAGTTGTTTCAATTTTCTAGTTATCAAAATTATTTTATTGTTTTAAATTTTGAAATTGTTTTAACGTGTTATCATCACTTTAAGTTGGGATAGGACAAAAAAAAATTACGCCAAGAAATAAGCACAGTAATCCATCATGACCACCCCATCTACCACCTGCTTGCTCCTTGGCATCAGTCAGGGTGCTTCCAGACAGCACCAAAACGTGGGACAAAGAAGTGACTTTTTAAAATGGGAGACATCAAAATGAGTCCAAACACAGAACTGTTAGTCCCGCTGCATAGTTTCATGCGTTTTCCAGCCCTTAACTCGATTCCTCCTGCACTTTGACTAAAGGTTGTTTAGCCACCCCTCTTTTAACACGCTTCCTCTCAGGGTTGAATCCATGTGCAGAAGGCCCTCAGAGTGCTGAGGAGCAGGTAGGTGTTGTGTCATAGGTGGGGACCACCATGACATGGGGGGGGGGGGGTTCTAGGGTGGCTGCCCAGCTGCGCTGAACTATGTTCAGCACAATTGTGCAGTAGAGACACCCTACTGCCTTTGGGACAGTTGAGGGAGTCCAAAAGAAGACATCACATGGACCTTATCTGGTGCCCAGAATGCTGGATTGACTCTGCATTTGATGTCCGTGTAGAATGGCCCTCAGAGGAGGAAGCAAGGGAACAAACACTTTTTCTCTCCACTAGATTTTCCGTAATATCATTTGCCTCTTTCAGGGACCATTTGTGAGGAGTTTGCTTAAGAGGGAATTATGATAAGGGCTATGTTCTTGCTGCCAAGACGTGCAAGATGGTGTTCATTTGGTTAACATTAGCTATTTTGAGGGTTTTCTTTGAAGTATTTAATGAGCATATTCCAACCTCACTTAAAACTCAAAAGGAAAATATTTGTAAATAAGAAAGGAAATCCTTCATTTTAAATAACACAGTTGGTGGAGTGTGTTTTTTAAACATCATTAGAACTCCTTTGTAAAAAGGTAGGTTTCAGAGTCAGTCTATGGCAGAAATTTAAATAGAAAATGGGTGTACTGTCCTGATCATAGAATCCTAGAATTGGAAGAAACCACACAAGCCATCCAGTCCAACCCCCGACATACAGGAAAAGCACAACCAAACATTCCTGGTCATTCACCCTCTTTTTAAAAGCCTCTAAAGAGGGAGGTTCGGGTGCATTGAGTTCCATTGTTGAATGGCTCTTGCGGTCAGGAAGTTCTTCATGAGGTTCAGGTGAGAGCAGCAGAAAACAAGCCTGCTTGTCTTCCTTATGACATCCTTTCAAATATTTAAACATGGCGATCATATCTAACTCAACCTTCTTTTCTGTGGGCTAAACATACCCAGCTCTTAAAGCTACTTGTCACGTTGCCAGGGCTCTACCTTATTCCGGTAGAGATTAACCAAACAAATACCCAGTTTGTGTTAAACAATTTAATTAAAACAGCAGTTACTTTCTAGCTATTTTAATAGTCCAAAATATAAAACACAAAGATTGCACTCAGCCACAGAATATAAAACAAAAACAGCAAACACTGTTGCTGTTTCAAGATAACTCCATAGTGAAAAGGTCCAGTCCAGTGGTCAAATGCCAAGAGTTCAATAGACAAAGTCCAGGGATCAAGAGTCTATACCGTAGTCAAAGGCCAGTCCAAGATTCAAGGTTCCAGGATTCCAAAGGTTCAGAAGACAGGTCAGCACACCAAAAATCCACAAACCTGGAGGAAAACCAGCAGCATCTACCACCAAAATAAAACAAATACTTCTCTCCCAAAGATCAGTCCCAAGGCTAGCTCCTTATATCCAGAAACACCCAGCTGCAACCCATCTCTTGCATACCTCCACCCTTAATTGCTTTCACCCATGAACTCTTACTTACAGATTACTCAACCCTTTAGAACTAAGACTTACATTAAACCTTCTATCACCAACTGCTAGGCCTACCACCACCAACCACTATCAACTGCAGAACATGATACATGACACTACTCCTCTTACTGGGAGAAAATCATACCACTCTTTGTGAGTTCCAGTTGGCCTTAGACATGATGTGGAACATAGTTTAAGGTGTTTTAAAAGCCTGAATAGAGTCTTTATTGAAAGGCTGACTGTATTTCAGTTTGTTTTCACACCTGTGTGTCAGCCCATTCCCACACCCATTCCTTTCACTAAATTTCATTTTCCTCCACAAGGAGACTAAGCCAGAGGAATTTACTAAGCTTTGAAACGCTTCCAGTTGTTTCAGCATAAAAGATTCAAAAGATTATTCAATGTTGGTAGCATGGCTATTTATTTTAATTGGCTGTTCAAAGATAAACTGACACACAACAAAATCTAGTGTGGGCTCTTGCTGTTGTTGTTTCTGCTGCTGGGAAGCCTTTACCTTTCCTAAGAGGGAGTTCAACAGTAAAGTCTTATTTGATCTTGAGGATAAATCATTACTGTGTGCCTCTGTGTTAGGGTAAAAGAGGACTCAGGTGCTGGGAGCTTCACACAATCTAACAATGAGTATCTGTTTGAGATGAGAATAGAGTTCGGTTTACTTACAGATTTTTTAATAGTGGTAAACATTTTATCTATTTTGAGCTGCTTTGAGGATCTAGACTGCTGTGAAGCACCTGGGCTTGTTCTGGAACTTTTTTTGTTTGTTTCCTATTCCAGAAATCTAAGCTGTTTCTTTGTTTTCTTAATGTTTTCCTTTCCTTCAATTTACTAACGTTTCTTTTCTGGCTGCTCACTGTACATCTTTGGCTCTTAGTTCATGCGTTGCTCCAGTTGCAAACTTGCACTCCAAACACAATCCCAACAAAGTTCTTTGTTTCCCCCAAAGGCTAAAAGTAATACAACTTGGAGGTATGAAACAATAAAACAATAACATTTGAGGATAAAATCAGACAAACTGTAGAGGAGAGCGTTACCATCCTTGACATAATTTTGAACCCATCCCAAGCTACATAAAGAACACTCCAAATTTTAGTCTCCTTCTCCTCCCACTCCCTCCTTCTTCTCCTTTGCTAAGAAGGAGCATAAGTAATTGAAGACCCTCAAGCAATGCAAGAAACAGTAACACATTACTTTTTAATAAGCAGGCTTTTTAGTTTTGGGGTGGTGTTCTGAAATGAATTATTTAACAGATTACTTTCATAATGTTACTTCTGTCATTGCAGTAGTGAAATATGAGAGAATGGAAATCCCTACAAAATTATGGGACAATTTATATGGGGTACAATATTCTGCTTCTTTTCATAATTACTAGATAGAAGCATTCATTGCCAAGAAGTGGAAAATACACAGCATTTCATCACCCTTAGTGATTCTCTGTATACTTAGCAATGCTCAAATATCTACCTGACCAAATATCCCACCCCCAGTTTCTCACTTTTATTTCTCTATCATATTCTACCATTATGTTAATAAAATACAACAAGCAGACATGATATCGGAAGATTCATTTTCCCTCTTGTTCATTATTCCATTTATTATTATATTACATTATGCTATACTATTCTGCAGTCCTGCAATTGTGCAGTGACGCAATGGGTAAAACCTTTGTGCTTCTGAACTGCTGACCTAAAGGTTGGCTGAATTGCTGATCTGGAGGTTCGCAGTTCGAATCCTCGAGATGGGGTGAGCTCCCATTTGTAAGCTCCAGCTCCTGTCAACCTAGCAATTTGAAAACATGCAAATGTGAGTAGATAAATAGATACTGCTTCGGTAGGAAAGGCAAAGAGATGCTCCAAGCTATCTTGCCAGCCACACAACCAGGAAGTAACAACACAGGCTCCTCAGCTTGAAAATGGAGAAAAAAATGCACCTCTCCAAAGACAGAGATTAGTACTGCCTCCAGAAGCCAGGAATGAAAGGAGAAGCCTCTGCCTTTGTTTGTGTTTGTCTATCCCATTGTCTATCCCTCTGTTAAGATCTACAGAGACATAAGATCTACAGAGACACTCACTGGAACACCTCAGCAAGCGAGAGTCCAAAAGTGGCAGGCTCAAACCCAGAACCTCAACCAATGGCTGATACCAAATGAGAGACTCTCCCCTGGGCACACAGAAGACTGGGTGACTTGGAAGGCGCTATTATTTATCGTGTCATCCGCAACCGGAACATTGTATTACATTTCTAACAGAACAAAACAAACAAACAGATAAAAAAAACCACACAAATTTTGCAAACTTGGTAGCTGATTAAATGTCCTTTGACCAGTATCTGGCCACTTGGAGTGCCTCTGGTGTTGCCGCAAGAAGGTCCTCCATTGTGCATGTGGCAGGGCTCAGGTTGCATTGCAGCAGGTGGTCAGTGGTTTGCTCTTCTCCACACTCGCATGTCGTGGATCCACTTTGTAGCCCCATTTCTTAAGGTTGGCTCTGCATCTCGTGGTGCCAGTCTGTTCAGCGCCTTCCAAGTCGCCCAGTTTTCTGTGTGCCCAGGAGGGAGTCTCTCATTTGGTATCAGCCATTGGTTGAGGTTCTGGGTTTGAGCCTGCCACTTTTGGACTCTCGTTTGCTGAGGTGTTCCAGCTGGAACACCCCCCCTCCTTGGAAGGCGCTGAACAGACTGCGCTCTGGCACCACGAGATGCAGAGCCAACTTAAGAAATGGGGCCACAAAGTGGAATCTACGACATGCGAGTGTGGAGAGGAGCAAACCACTGACCACCTGCTGCAATGCAACCTGAGCCCTGCCACATGCACAATGGAGGACCTTCTTGCAGCAACACCAGAAGCACTCCAAGTGGCCAGATACTGGTCAAAGGACATTTAATCAACTACCAAACTCACAAATTTTGTATTTTGTCTGTCTGTTTGTTTTGTTCTGTTAGAAATGTAATACAATTGACTGGTTAATCTGACACGACAAATAAAATATACCATTGTATATTATTGTAAAGGTATGGAGTCTTTGCCTATGTATGTAAATGCTGTAATCTGCTCTGAGTCCCCTAGGGGAGAAGGGCAGAATATAAATAAAGTGTATTATTATTATTATTATTATTATTATTATTATTATTATTACTACTACGATTATTAACATTTTATTTTGTCGTTCTAGGTCAGACACCATGTCAGGAAGGAGATCAGAAATGTACTTCTGCTTCCTGTCCTGATTCCTGTAGCTCCTCTCCTTTCTGTGACATGAATAACAGACAAGCAAATTGTAGTGAGTTGGTTATTTCTTTGTGCCATTGTTATCTCATGTGCATGCTTTCAGTATATCTTATGCAGAGAAGACCTGACTTATAGGAATGTTTGTAACTTAGTGGCAGAGCTTATATTGTGCAAACAAAAGGTTCCAGGATCAGTTCTGACATTTCCAGGTAGGGAAAAATGTTTTGCAAAACCTTAGAGAGCTAATACTAGACACAGTCTGCATGTTGTCTGAAAGTGTCATGTCCAGCTGCAAAACTGGACAAAAATGTAAGGAAAAAACACCTTGTGGTTATTTCCAAGTCATATGTTTAGCTCCCCCGCCCCCTGGAAATTTACAGTATTAAGTTACTTTAATTTTTTTTCTTTTTGAAAATGTAATTTCACCTGCTGAAGGATGCAGGGATGTAAACTGGCCCTACCCATTACATTAGTTTCCCATCACTGGTATAGACAGTGCGGCGCTAGATTGACTAATGGCTAGTTACTTCTAAAAGTAATATTTTATTTTAATTTTATGAAATGATAATTTGTTATTGTTGTTTTTCATCTATTGCCTATATTACTTTCTGTATCTGTTGACTGTTGTAAGCCACCCCAAGTCCCTTCGGGGAGAGGAGATGGGGTATAAATTATTATTATTATTATTATTATTATTATTATTATTATTAGTAGTAGTAGTAGTAGTAATTAGGAGCACTTACAACTGTAGGGCCCCATCTATGCTAACCACTTAGGTCAGTATAGATTTGGATCAGCCCTGCAGAAACTAGACACCACACAGGGCTAATCTACAGTTGCATTGAATAAGATCACCTTAACAGGGCCTTGCCCCATGTTACCCCAAGTGGCGCAATGGGTTAAACTCTTGTGCCGGCAGGACTGCTGACTGAAAGGTTGGCGGTTCGAATCTGGGGGCATGAGAGAAGCCTCCCATAGGATGGTAAAACATCTGGGCATCCCTTGGGCAATATCCTTGCAGACGGCCAATTCTCCCACACCAGAAGCGACTTGCAGTTTCTCAAGTTGCTCCTGAGACACACACACACATGCACGTGTGCACACACAAGTTGGGGGAAGGACTGATTTCTTCCTCAGAATTTAGGTTTTCCTCTCAGCCTAAGGGCAATGAGGATAGTTGGGCTGTTTTTCTTTTTTTTTTTTGTCGTATCAGGAGCGACTTGAAAAACTGCAAGTCACTCCTGGTGTGAGAGAATTGGCCGTCTGCAAGGACGTTGCCCAGGGGATGCCCGGATGATTTGATGTTTTTATCATCCTTGTGGGAGGCTTCTCTCATGTCCCCGCATGAGGAGCTGGAGCTGATAGAGGGAGCTCATTTGCCTCTCCCCAGATTCGAACCTGCGACCTATTGGTCTTCAGTCCTGCCGGCACAGGGGTTTAATCCACTGTGCCACTGGGGGCTACAGTTGGGCTGGTGTTGAGTCCCGAAACTAAGTTCAGGATTATGTCCATACCACATCTTTACAGTATATTGAACCACTTTCATTTGTTTTGAACCAATTCTAGCCAATGGAATCCTGGGTTTTCTAGTTTAGTGAAGAATTCTGTTAGAAAGCTCTAACGCTATAGCTATATTGTAATAGTTTCAGGTTGTATGGAACATACATATCTGACTTTCACTTGTAATCTCACCATAGGTAAAACCTTAGGAACGAATACTACATCCATATATTGAGTATAAAAAAATTGAAGCAAGTTAGTTGTGATTAGGGGGCGGGAGGCTAGTAAAAAGAGTATGCTGTCACGCGCTGGACCTGTGAAAAGGTCTGTAGACAGGACGTGTTCTGTATACCCAACGAGACACCGGGGGTGCCTCGGATTAGAGGACCTTTGGATTTCCCTAAACAAAGTCTTTAGAAACTTGGAAAGTTTAACAAAGTTCTTTATTAGTGCTTAGGTCTTCAATAAATCAAACAAATACTTCAAGGCTTTGAATCAAGTGGTGGCTTTCTTAATCTTGTCCACAAGGGACAGGCAACTATCTTCATGAACTGTTTCTTCACTATCAGGGAAATCCTTGACCTCTACCTGGGCAATCTGTCTTAGGCTCTGCTGGTGTGGGCCCCTACACCCGGTCCAAATTGCGTTATGGCTGCCACGAGTGGTCCTTACCAAACAGTCCTTTTGTAGATTTCCAAGAGGAAAGAAGGTCTTCAATTCCCAGCAAAGGCTGGCTGTAAAGCTGTGGGACTGGATTCCCCCCAGCAAAAGCTATGCTTCTCTGTAGAGCTGTGGGACTGAATTCCCCCCAGCAAAAGCTGTAAAAGATGAAGCTTTCTACAGGTGGAACTGATTCACATCCTGTATGAAAGGCTTCTCTGTGTGAACTGAACTAGAGGTCCCCTTTCTCCCTCCTAAACCCAGAAAAAGGGGTGGAACTAAAGAACCTAATGATGATTGATGGGTCATTGGTCCTATAATTGCAAACCAAGGGAAGCCACCTTATTGCAAAATGCATGGAACCTTGGAATACATGCAAACACTCAAAGAAAGAAAAAGAAGTTGGAGCTCCTGGTACAGCCGTACCAGAACAAAGAGAATTGTCCAGAGAGACAGCAAAAACAAACAAAATCAAAACCAAAAAAACTGAAAGAAGCTAGGATTGTTAGGAAAGAAGGTGAATGTTTTATTGGAGCACCATTATTCTGTTGTAGTTTTATGATGAATACTGCCTCTGTTGTTCTATGCATACAGTCGGCAACGTATAGGATATTTTAAATTGCTCCTTTTAATGTGTTGAGCTTTATGTTTAGAATGTTTGTATGATATAAAGAAACTGCTAGGGACAATGGACCAGGAACCATCTGCTGTCTTTTGTGCTCACTATTTCCTTTGTGAAAAGAGAACATTGACTACTGGACACTTAATATTTTAAAATGTGGAGAAGAAAGGGAAGACATTAAAGCTCTCAAGAGAAATGGAAAGCTTGGGCAGCTAGTGGACGAACTGGTGGGCAGAATGAAAAGAGTTTGTGTTTCAAATTGTCACTTGTCAGTATGAATTGTGTCCTTTATCGTTAGAATGGAGCCCCTGGTGGCGCACTTGGTTAAACCCTTGTGCTGACAGGACTGAAGACTGACAGGTCGGAGGTTCAAATCCAGGGAGAGCGTGGATGAGCTCCCTCTATCAGCTCCAGTCCTCATGCAGGGACATGAGAGAAGCCTCCCACAAGGATGATAAAACATCAAAACATCCGGGTGTCCCCTGGGCAACGTCCTTGCAGATGGCCAATTCTCTCACACCAGAAGTGACTTGCAGTTTCTCAAGTCACTCCTGACATACACAAAAAACCTTTAGAATGATTAAAAATATCTTTCTTTCAAAGTTTTCATCCTTTCTATAGGTTTTGTATAGATAATCCTTATTATTGGGAATAACACTTTGGATACATTTTCAACCTGTAAAATATAGTTGAAATATCAGAAAATGCAATTCTGAAAATTATAAGAACCCAGATGGTCAGCACAGATTGGGTGGCTTCCCGACAAAATAATTTTAGATCCCTTATGGTTGTAAGGCCACCAAAGTGACATGCTCTAAGTTCTTCTTTGAAGATTTCATTTAATGAAACTAAGCAATATGGGGATTGTTTGCATATGTTTCATTTGGGTTGCCAACTTTCCATAATCATTTTTTTACTTAAAATTAAACAGAACCGCTTCCTTATTAGTCTTTATTAGCCCTTTTAGCCTGTGACCAGAAGTGCCTTTGTTGCTTGTAGAAAAGAAAAGATCTTTAACAAAAAAGGTATTTTCTATGTTGAGTGACTTTTAATCCAGATGGGAAAAGGCAATGGCAGTCAAAATTTCATCCCTGGGCTTCTCTCCAGGACTGCAAACCAGTATGGGCTTTGACCAAATCTCTGATTATAACCCCCCCCCCCAAAAAAAAACAGACATTGAATGCCAATCAGACTTTGCCAGTGCCACATCCTTTATCATCAATGGATTCAGTAGGTTTTGTACCTCCCCTATGAAATATCTAACCATGCTGAAGGTTTCCAGCCTTCACTCTGACACTTTGCTATGTCCTCCCATCTGCCATATTGGAAGGCCGTTATCGAAAGACTCCATCTCCCAGAGACTATGCCCCTGTGACTCAGGACACAAAGAGACAACAGAACATGTTCTTCTTCAGTGCCTGTTCTATAGAGATGTTGGATCCCTTATTACGCCATGACTATATAAACAACCAGGATGCTCTGGGCAATTTACATGTCCCTGCTGCTTTCAGACATTAACTCGGCTGTAATTTATAGTGTCGCCAAGTTCTGCACGGCAGCAATTAAAATCTGGCAGTCAATGACTGACAGCACAAGCTGGTACAAGCCAGGACTTAATACCAGCAGAAAATTGGGGTTACAGTCTTTTAATTATATTATAGATGTTGCTCTCTCCTCTGTTTGACTGGACTTCCCTTCTCTGTGCCACATGAACATCCCTATTTTCTCCCTTTAGATTCCCTTCCCTTTCATTCCATAAATATTGTTGGGTTTTGATACAATTCTAAATATGGCTTTTAGCTTAGTTGAGATTCTTAAGTTAATCATCTTACTGTCCTAATCATGAAACGCTTATTTTAAAGGTTTAAATCTCTTAACCTTTAACTGTGATATGCCTGTACGGGACAATGTCCCTGTTCTCTTGAATTTGTTTATTTTTATTTGTCATGTCAGGAACAAACAGTTGTGTTGCATTTTTAACAAAAAATCAAACAAAACACAAAGTTTGCAAGCTTGGTAGCTGATTAAATGTCCTTTGACCAGTATCTGGCCACTTGGAGTGCCTCTGGTGTTGCTGCAAGAAGGTTCTCCATTGTGCATGTAGCAGGGCTCAGGTTGCATTGCAGCAGGTGGTCTGTGGTTTGCTCTTCTCCACACTCGCATGTTGTGGATTCCACTTTGTAGCCCCATTTCTTAAGGTTGGCTCTGCATCTTGTGGTGCCAGAGCACAGTCTGTTCAGCACCTTCCAAGTTGCCCAGTTTTCTGTGTGCCCAGGGGGGAGTCTCTCATTTGGTATCATCCACTGATTGAGGTTCTGGGTTTGAGCCTGCCACTTTTGGACTCTTGCTTGCTGAGGTTTTCCAGCAAGTGTCTCTGTGGATCTTAGAAAACTATTTCTTGATTTAAGTCGTTGATGTGGTGGCTGATACCCAAACAGGGGATAGCTAGGGATGTCTCTGCCTTGGTCATTTCACTGTTGGCTGCTACTTCCCAGCGGATGTCAGGTGGTGGAATACCGGCTAAACAGTGTAATTTCTCCAGTGGTGTAGGGTGCAGACACCCCGTGATAATGTGGCATGTCTCATTAAGAGCCATATCCACTGTTTTAGTGTGGTGAGATGTGTTCCACACTGGGCATGCATACTCAGCAGCAGAGTAGCATAGCGCAAGAGCAGTGTCTGGGTGTGATTCCCAGGTTGTGCGAGTCAGCTTTCGTATGATATTGTTTCTAGCACCCAATTTTTGCTTGATATTCAGGCAGTGCTTCTTGTAGGTCAGAGCATGGTCCAGAGTGACTCCCAGGTATCTGGGTGCGCTGCAATGCTCCAGTAGGATTCCTTCCCAGGTAATCCTCAGAGCTCGGGATGCTTGTCTGTTCTTGATGTGAAAAGCACATGTCTGTGTTTTAGATGGATTAGAGATCAGCTGGTTTCCCCTGTAATAGGCAAGTAAGAGCACCTAGAACTTCGGAGATCTTCTGTTCAACCATCTCAAAGCTCCCTGCTTGAGCGGTGATGGCATGATCATCAGCATAGATGAAACTCTCTGTCCCTTCTGGCAGTGGCTGGTCATTTGTGTAAATGTTGAACATGGATGGGGCAAGCACGCTTCCCTGAGGCAGGTTGGTCATTGAACTGGTCACTGACTGTAATAAAGTGAACTTGAAGTAACAAAAATAGTTGATGGTTTTCAAGCAGCTAAACTCCATATTAAATGAACAAATCAACTTCTATCATCATCATCACCACCATCACCATCTTCAACAGCAGGTCTGAACCCACAGAAAACTGATCAAAATGATTTACAGTGTTTTCAGGAATCAGATGTTGAATTCCATGACAGAATATTCAAATGCCAGTAATTTATTGTTGTCATCATGTTGACATGACATAAGTTATTTTAGCTTGTGTGCACACATGTGTATTTACCATGAAAAAATTGAAAGAAATATCCATCTGTCATTTGACAATTCATCGTGTACTGTGGTCCTCTCTATTGAGAGTCATTGGATAATTGCAGAACTATTGCTCCTGTATTTACATTTTAATTTCTATTTGACAGGTCAGTGTGAACCAATTACACTGGAATTATGCTTGAACCTGCCTTATAACTACACTAATTACCCCAACTACTTGGGCCATCGAACACAGAAGGAAGCCTCAATCAGCTGGGAATCCTCTCTCTTTCCAGCTTTGGTTCAGACTAACTGTTACAAATACCTTATGTTTTTTGCGTGCACAATTTTAGTGCCAAAATGTGATCTTCAAACCAATCAACGTATCCCGCCATGCAGGTAACAAAAAATAGATAAGTAGATGTTTTTTTTTTTTAAAAAGAAACTTTCAACATACTGTTACTACTGCTTGCATTTATGAGTTTTCATACACTACTTGCTGGCAGATCAGAATCCAATGGTAACAGTTAAATTGGCCAGCTTTTGTGCTACAGTGCTCGCTTGTCGTCAAAAATGAAATGAGAACCAATGTTTACCTTTATTTAATGATATCTATTTTAAATAATCTTGTTATTAATAATATTTGTTCAGTTCTACTTGTTTTTGTTTTTTATCTGATCTGTTGATTTGTTTATCATAATAAATTATTTATTTATTGTTATTATTTTACTGACACAAAAACACAGTATGTCACACAAACTAGATCTATATGCTGGATTTCGTATCACAAAATCACAAGTCGAACACTTCCCTAGCGTCTAGGACTGTGTGATGTATTTTCGAATGACGTGTGGCCTTTTGCAGTTGACAGATAGTGATTTTGTCAATGTTTATTGTTTCCAAATGCTGTCTGAGGGACCACCTGTACTGATTTATGCCAGAGCCTTTGCAGTTTAATTTTGAAGTCTTGATAATGGCTGAGTTTTTCCTTTTGTTTTTCGTCAATTCGACTGTCACTGGCATGGCGGCATAAATAATCCAAACTTTTCTCTTTGCCACAATCATGATGTGTGTATTGTGTTCCAAAACTTTGTCAGTTTGGATTAAAAAGTCCCACAGTATTTTTGCGTGTTCATTTTTCACTACCTTTGCAGGCTTATGATCCCACTACTAGCAGGTGGTACTTGTGACATGAGTTCCAGTGAATCATTTGGGCCACATAGTGTGCCTCTGTTTGTAGTCTGTCTGTGTGATTTTCTTGCAGCAGTTGAGGATATGATCTATCACACCTCAGGATAGATTCATCTTGCTCAGAACACCACACACATCAAGGCTGTAGGTTTTGTAGTTTATTAAAGAAAAGGCAAAGTCTTAAATGCAGAGTTTCCAAACTCCAAAGGCAAATAACATGAAGCATAATCCATAAGCATTGATCAAACAAGATTCCATGGCAGCATGACAGAGTCCCAAGAAGCCAAGACCCAAATCAAAGTCCCAAAAAGCCAGAAGCATTGCCCAAAAGCCCAGGCAATCCAAAGAAGTTATCAGGGTGTTCGTTGAAGTTGCACTGACAAAAGGTTGTCTTCAATCAGCTCCCTAAATATACTTTCCCAGCATGAAAGCATTCCTTTGACCTCTAACCTCTCTCTTGTTTGCAAGCCTTGTACTACGGCGAACCCTGAATTGCAAGTGACCTGCCCTATCTAAATCTGCAGAGCCTTCAAGGTCAAATAACTCATTATCCTGGAGCTGGGAATCGGCAGCCTGAGAATCAGCAGGCAGAGAACTCACAGGCTGGCTCGCCTCCTCCTGCACCTGTGAAATTTTACTAAGATCAGAAACATCTTCTAAGACAACATCCCTTCCCATAGGAAACTGGAACTCCTCATCTTCAGCATCAACATCAATTGTATCAACAATGGGAACATGTTCAGGAATCTGAAAACCATCATCCTCTTCCTGCTCTTTCTGAGGCTCCAGCTGAGCCACAACATGATCAATGGTTTCATCAGCTTCCTTGCACAGTGTGAATTTTGGGTCATCAAGTGATTTTTCAATCCTGGCCTTAATTGCATTTATTCTGATGGCTTGCTCCTGGGCTGCAAGAATCAGGCCTTCTGTCGCCTCCTTCAGTGTTCCATTAGTGAGTCATAACCAGGTCTTCTTCTTGTCAACTTTTCCTTCAATTTTGTCAAGGAACTGCCCATGTAATGCTTTGTTGTGCCAGCTGTCAGCTCTGGTTTGTAGTGCAGTCTTCTTGTATTGGTTCTTTGTCTGCTGTGCTTTGAGAAGTTTCTGATTATTGACTTCAATCAAAGAAGGTTTTTTGCTTTCCTTTACATATTCTACCAGGGTATGTTTTTCTTCTTTGACATTCTTGGCATTCTTGGCATGATTGTTTGCTTTACTTGTAAAAGTCCTCTGCTAGGCAGATATAGCCAGTCAACATCACTGCGAGGATGCAGTGAATTATGAATGGTCATGAGTTTTCTTGTTTTTCTGTCCAAATTGTTGTTGTTGTTGTTGCTGCTGCTGCTGCTGCTCTCAATTGAATTATTACCATCTTGTATGTCTAAGTTGTTGATATACTACTTTGAGCTCAAGATCCTCTGTTTTCACTTTGAAAAGATCTCCATTGCTACTGCAGACCCAGAAGTCTTTTGATCTGTCAGCTGTTGTCTTTCTGGAACTACTTTCCCAGATCAAGCGGATGGATGTGGTTTCCATATGAAATCTGTCACTGTCATCTAAGGGTGTGTTGACATGGTGTAATCATAACAATTTGACGCCACTTTAGCTGCCATGGCTGCATTTGATGGAATGCTGTAATTTGTTGTGGAACATAAAATTCCCCAGCACTCGTTTGAATTAGAGCATACTATCAGAAAAGCTGAAACCCCTCTAACGACAGACCCTAGGGTTCCACAGGAAACAACTATAGCAATTAAAATGCCATCAAACTCCCATGAATGTGTAATGTTACTGCACCTCATGCTATCTACCTCTTCTAAATGAAGTCAGCAGTTTCCACAATTCATATATGAGTTATAGTGGTTCTTCTGGCTATAAAAGCCAAAAAGATGCACACGGAGAAGCAATTATTTTCTTCCAAAATGTTGCCAGTTGTATTATACAAATCTGGCATCCATTCTATCATCTATTGATACTGCTGAGACTTTAACTATAACCTACTGAATGCAAGTTTTCAGTATCAGAATCCCCGTGGCATTCTTGGCATGATTGCATGTACTGATAATATCACATTTTTAGTCACTGATTTTGATTTTGACTAGAGTTCAGTGGGCCCTATGCACTTGTTTCCTAATAATGGTCAGTACATTGATTGATGCTTTGGCAGACAAATAATAAAACTGTTTCTCCAAAACAATATTCCAAAAACCAAACAAACAAAAAACGTAAGCCCTCACTTGCCAATCATCGTTCTCTTTCTCCTCGAGGGTTCCTTGTTCTCTGACAACAATAACACATTGTTCAAATAGACCATTGGTTTATTCTCTGCATAGATGCGAGATATTTTTAGGGGCATCCCTGAGTTTACTTACTTACATTCATCCAGATCTTGGTCATGGCACCCTGTTTGATCCTGATCTCCATTGGCTCATTGACAACCTCCACTGTCCCCCAGTTCATCCAGGTCACTGAAATTAACAAAATACAGATAACATTCTACTTTCCGGGACTACAGACTTGTTCCAAGAAAATGCAGACTTTTTTCTTTGGGCACTCTATTTTGCACCTAAGGGATGACTCTGCTTGCATCATTTGTTCCATTTCCCCAAGTTAAACACTGTTTTCCTTTTGAAGACTGAAGCAAAGAAGGTGTTGCATAGTTTTGCCTTCTTTCACTATCTCTTCCATTTTCTTGTTCTTTTCTTTCCAAGGGACATAACTGAATCTGCCCTTTTTATTGTTTTTAATATCTTTAACAAGCCTGAACTTGTTCTGCACTCTATCTTTCTGACTTCCTTCCTACATATGTTGGCTATTTGTTTGAATTCCTCTTTGGTGATTCCTTCCTTTTTCCATTTCTTGTACATATACATTTTAAATCTTAGTTCAGCTGAAAGTTCTCTGGAATCTATTCTGGTTTCTTTAGACACCTCCCATTTCCCCTCCTCTTTCACATTGTTTGAAACTGTGCCTTCAACATTTGGCTTTAAAGAAACTCTCCAATGTGAACACCCTTCTCTTTTTGTATTCCTGACCACAGGATCACATCCAGTATTTTCCTAAATTTACTGAAATGTACTGTAGAATAATAAATAGTAGCATAATTCATAGAACCATAGAATAATAGAGTTGGAAAAGATCACAAGAACCTTCTAGTTCAACAAGATCTGTGCAACATGACCAGTCATGATTTTTTTAAAATCATGCATTTTGCCTAATGAAACATAGAGCAGTATATATTATCAACAGGGTTGATATCCGCAAATGCAGGATAGATGGTTATACTGGCAGAACACTGGCAGGACATGAATAATATTAACAGGAGGTCTCTATTGTGCAAACTCTTTTCTTGTATGGCAGTATAGATCCTTGGTTTTGAATCAAACTCATTGTGTTGATGTGCATTATTAGTATGAAGTAAGAGCACAACTGTCCTTTTTTTAAAAAGTAACTGATGCCAATGGGATCGTAATACACTAAGTCAGTGGTTCTCAACCTGTGGGTCCCCAGGTGTTTTGGCCTATAACTCC